CCTGTGTCCTGTTCCCATTCCTGCCCTTAGCCAAACATGATTCTAATTTCCTTACTCCCATTCCCTGTTCCCATCACCCCACCCCGCCCCCACCCACTTCCTGATTGACTGCAGACTATATAGTAAAACTTGAGTTCTGCTTAGCTATACCTTAACCAATCATTTTCCTGAAATTTAACTAACCAATCCTAACATATTGTAACATGATTATGGAACCAATTATATCTCACCACCTTAATTAGTTTACACCCAGCAAAATTAATTATACAGCAGACAGAAACAATCACAGAACCAGACAGAGATTATACAGACAAACAATAGCAAAGTGACAAAACAATACAGAAGTGAGGATTTCACATCCCAGCTATTGATAACTGCGTTCTTGCCAGACAGGATGCTATCAAACTAAGTTTCCTTTTACATTTTCTAGGCACTTCCCTTTCTCTGGAGGTGAAAGGCACTATCAGGACAGTATTGTATTCCTAACAGCCCAATAGCACCTTATTTCAATGTGACTAGTTTGGAATGTGAGGATGTGACTGGTCGCTTCCCAGTTTATGGCTGCCTCAGTTGCTTAGCCAAAGGCCTTAGCCTAAGAACAGGGCCGCAGACTGTCACAGTAAGAGAAGGCCCTTACACCGGCAGACAGTGATTTTGATTCTTTCTTTTATATCTCTATAACTAGCCAAGTGATAAGAATACATCTAAATTCTTAGAGTACAGGCCTTTACAGACAGGCCTGAATATCTATATCCTAACACTAAATGCAGGCACCACTGAGAATTTAACAGATTTACAGCCAAAAGCACCAACTGAATGTCTAATACCATGTCATGAATTGGAATTCAAGATACAACAGGGACTGGTCCATTATATTGAGATAAGATTAGATTTAGATGGACTTTTCTTCTGATTCTTCTATTAAAACATTGAATATGTTCTAATATGCTATGACATTCCAGGGTGCAATCCAGACCAGTGGGGGGGGGGGGGGCCGTCACCATCTGCCCTGTAACCTGTGGTGCCTCACAACGCTTTACTGCAGTAGATCCCACCTGGGTAGCTCATAAACAGCCCGCCAGCATGCAGGTAATACTCTGAGTGTCTATCTATAGTTGCAGCCTGTCCAGTACATGCCCATCACACTCTGGCTTTCACCAGTCTTGATTACCACCTGCAGGATGACCCCAACACACTCCCAGTCCTGGATTTTCCCCCAAAAACATATGTTCTGCACTGTCCAGACCTGTGGTGGACAGAGCATATATATTCTGTCTCTTGCTCTTCTACAAGGATCAAGATACAACTTGCTCTTTTAAATGGACTTACCTACACAGTTCACAACCCTGGAATTGTTTTGATTAAAGAATAAAATAAGTTTATTTAACAAAAGAAGATAAGATTTTAAGTGAGTACAAGTAATGAGGCTTTGAGGTCAGAAATGGTTACAAGAAAAATACAGATAAAATACTTCCTATTACTAAACTTAACAAACTAGACTTGGGTCAGGGTGGCATTCTTACCACAAGTTTTTCAGTAGCATTGATGACCAAATTTTACATCTGGATCTACTCCCAAGGCCCAATGGCTGTTTCTTTTGTCTTCTTAGTTGCAAAAAGAGAAATGGACAGGGAGAAATAACTCAAGGTGTTTTTGCCCCTCACTTTTATAGTTCAGTCACCCTTTGAAATGCATTTTCCTGAGAGTGACCCCTAGATAAAATTCTTTTCAGCTGAGAGCAAGGAGATATGGAGTCTGGTGGGAGAAGAGATGTTATGCAGTTGCTGTTCACCTCTGTTTGCTAAGCTGCAGATCTGTTTGTCTCTTGCCTTACCCCCCTTAAATGCCAAAGAATGGCCACTTGATAGGTGACGGCCCATAAGCTTTGATGACATCCGACTAGACAAACTTGTCCTTTGTCTTTGAGAAACAGGTGAACCTACTTCCCAGACTTGTCTGGTAAACACACTTCAGTCGTGATTTCATCTTATGTTCATAACTTTACATGTAATGTTGTTACATACATTTTGCCATATTATTGACCAACAAGTTATTCAGTTTTCAAAGTATACTTTACAAGGCATATTTTGTACAAAGATTAGTGTGCAGGGTGTGAATACATGGTGCATTCCATCACATATGCATTCCTCCAAGAAAAAATAGCACATTGTCTACATTGTCTGGTTTACATAAATTGGATTGTATTGATACATTTACTCTTATTTGCATTGCTAAAATGGAGAGAATGAACTATCTTGTATAGCATGAAAAAGGAGGAGCCATATTGAAACAAAAGGCATGGAAGGAGGCATTATAAGGGATCTCACATACTATTATATTTAGTTGGAGTAGGAAGTTGGATTGTTTGTCACATGAGGAACAGGACAATGGTGGAGGAATTCTTATTTCCTAATGTGGAGGGATTAGTGTATGGAGTGTGTTGATGTGTGAAATTGACAACCAGATGTCAGGCAATTATTAAAAGGGACACAAATCCACTAACCCCTGTGAGACCACTGATTTCCCCAATAACATTTTTACCTGGAAATAACTGACATTTGGTTTCAAAATGATCCACTTTTTAAGGTTTTGATTTTGTTTATTCTCAAACAAACTGGTCTGTCAAGAAACACTGACTTCCTAATAGGCTATGAAAACTATTTGTGCTGACCAGTCACCTTATCAGGATTTCCACTGCATTGCACTTTTTATTTTAACCTACACTTGTTTTCATTTTCATTGACAGGTGTGTCAATATGATGCACATAGAATAATCATGAGGCTTCAATCCATACCTGCACCTGACTTTATAGTTGCATCTTTCTTCTTTGATTTTTCTATCTTTCAATGTAACTGTGATGTTTGCAACAAGCTGTGGCCCTTACATATACAGCTCCATATCCTGCTCAATGACAAAATTCCCATTCACTTCAATGGGAGCAGGATTGGGCCATGTTAGTCTGATGAGGGAAAGCATTACCTGCAGGGATTAGCAAAACATGATAAGAGAATATTGCATGGCAGAGCTGCTGATCATACAAAGGAAGAAATAAAGCAACATCCCAGCCTTGTGTTAGGTTTTCTCTAACGATGCATAAGAAAAATATCCCATTTAAAATAAATGTGTTGCACTTTTGTCAGAACTCTTGTGCTCCACAGAAGGCAGAATTTTCAAACACTGAATCTAGCTCCTCTGAGTACTGTATAGAAAAAAAGGAACCTTTAGAACTGGGCGAGCAGCACCTTATAGCCTGTCAGTAATGTCTGTTCTTTGCACACCCAGCATTTTATGGTCTTTTTTCAGGAAACATACAGGTGGAGATGTTGAATGCTGTGCCCCAGTTTAATGCTGTTGCCACTGCATGTCTGGACTCTGTGGTAATTCGGCTGCACAGAGAGGATGGCACCAGTACCACAGCCAAAGCAGTGATGCACCTTCATGAGTTCTGTCCTTGAGCTTTTCCCTAAGTCTTTCTTCTTTTGTTCTATGAAGCATCATCATAATAAACAACACATTGTCCAGCACTTTCCATCCAATAATTTCAATGCAGTTTATAAGCATGAATAAATTAAACAATGCAATCCCCCTGTGTGAAGGGTCAGTATAATTAATACCATTCAATAGATGGAGAAATTGAGGCACAGAGGAGGTGAAGATCTTGCACAATCTCACACGTCAGGGATAGAACCTAGTGTCCTGACTCCCCATCCTCTGCTCTAAAAAGCTGATCCAGCTCCTGTTGCAGTCAACATTAAGACTTGCATAAACTGCAGTGGGCTAGATCAGGCTGTGAGATCCCATTCTCACATAAACCTAGATCTGAGCCTATATAGAGAACTGCATACAAATGATGAGAGATGGGATGTAATGAAAAGCAAGTGATCACAGTGACATTTTGCACATATCTTGTTAGTTGTATGATTTTTGTTTGGATGAGATTTTGAAGGGGATAATTCCCAACTTACCCAACTTGTTCACACTTCCCTGAAAAAAGTGAGATTTGAGGAGACTGAATGTGGTTGCATGCAGGCTTGGAGGAGTTTCAGTAGTTGGGGGCCCCTGTGGAGGAAAGCCTAGAGCTGATGAGGGTGGGAGACAAGCATAATGATGAGAGATGGTCATGTGGCTTGGGTGGAGTGAAAAGGGTAAAAAGGGAACAAAAAGAGCAAGTGATAGAATGAGGGGCATGCAATGTATTATTGCAGAATATAATTGTATTGCTGATGCATACATGAGACTTTCAAAGGACTGTATAAACATCAGCTAATTAACAGTGTGGATGTATCTATTTTATCCATCATATCTGTCCTTATCCATCTTTTCTATCCCACTAATCAGCCTGGTCACTCATCTATCCATGGTAGGATGACCAGATAGCAAGTGTGGAAAATCGGGACGGGGGTGGGGAGTAATAGGAGCCTAAACCATGGTATTTCTAGTGTGCCCTTAACCCCAATGACTAAGGCTTGGTGACATAGGGAAATTCACCAGCATGCTGGTACTGCCCTAGTTATGCAGTGTAACTACCCCTGGGCGGACACATTTCGGGGTGCATCCACGTGGGCAGAGACACCCCTATAGCTATGGTGGTGCAACTGCACCCCTGTAGCTGGGCCCTCAACTTCCCCCAGGCCCTTGCAAAAGTTGCAGTGGTTGCTCTTCCCGGAGGGCCAAACCCCCCCACCGCCCGAGAAGGGACGAGGAACCCCGTGCCGGGCAGGCCTGCCACAGCGGGCTGAGCCGTGCGGGGCACTGGGCCGGGACCATGCCCTCGGGCGGCGGCTCCAGGGCATCGCGGGAACCCACGTGCCTCTCGCCGCGGGCCCAGGCCCCAGGATGTGCACGTGACACGGAGAAGGCGGGGCTGACTCCGACGCTCCACTCAAGGGCCTGGAATCCAAGATGGCCACCCAGGTGACGCCAAGACGACCGTGCTTGGACATGTGACGCGGGTCCAGCGGGCGACTGCCCCACGCCCTATCCCGTGCGTGCTGACGTCGCAGCGCTGGATGGTCCCGTGACCGGAAGCTGGCCAGGGAGAGGCGGAAGTGAAAGCGGAGAGGCTGTTGGCCCCATTAAAGCGGAGCCGAAGGGAGCGGAGGAGGAAGCGAGGCTTGGAGCAGGTGTCGCGGGGCTATTGAGTGCGGTGAGTGGCCGAGTTGGCAGGGCTGTGGGGCTCTCTTCCCTCCGGGGCAGGGAGGTGGGCCTAGGACCGTGGCCTACGGGCTGCTTCCCCCCTCGCTCGCACTGGGGCTTTGTGCGGGGGGACGACGGAGGCTGGAGGGGGTCCTCTTGGGAGGGGCTGGCGGGGAGGCTGTGACTGGGCAGAGGCAGCGGGCTCTCGCCGGGGTTTGTGTTGGGGGCAGTGTGTTGCTGGCGCCGGGAGCGTCGGCCCGGCGCTGCGAGTGAAGGAGGTAGCGGAGCTCGCTCCCCGAATCGGGGCGGGCGGGGGGGGGGGGGCAGCTGCTCTCTCCCCCCTTCTCTCTCCTCCCCTCCCCCCCCCCCCACGTCTTCTCAGCCTCGGGCAGGCAGCCGGCTCCACCCTACTCTCTCTGAGGACGGAGAGGCAGAAGGTCCCGGTATCTAGCTCTAAAGCGAGAGGAGGGGCTCTGGGAGGCGGTGGCAGCGGGGCTCCTCCCTTGTTGGAGTAGGAGGGGGAGCGGGCCTGTGAGGGGGGCTTTCTCTTCCCAGCTGCGGGGACTAATGGGTGGGAGTTGATGGACCCGGAAGCTTATTCCTTTGTGTCTCATGCTGTGCCAGAGGAAGGGGCTCTTCCCTGATACTGGGATTTGCGTGATTGAGAACTCACTGAGCTCGGCGTTGTGGGGCTGACAGAAGTGGCGTGTATGAGGACTGAGACAGGCTTAAGAATTTCTTTCTTTCTCTCAGCCCTCCTGTGTAACAATGAAGCTTTCTTAATGCTTCAGAATCACTAATAAGAAAACTGATGTTTAGGATATAAACCTTTCCTGATCAATATGGATGCTGTAGCTAAGTTTAGTTCTTTTTTGTGGAAGAGGCTATCCCTTCAGCCTTTCTAGCTGTCTGTATTGTTCATGTGTATTGTGGTCTCCATGAAAATCAGTAAGAGCTCAATTAGGATTCAGGACGAAATTTATGATAGGAAAGGTGTGTTCGTTTGTTTTTTTTTTTTTCCCCTCTTTGGTCACACATAGCTACCATATTTTGTCATCCGATTCCTGCAAAGACTCTGGAGAGAAGAGGGGGACAGCTAGAGGCTAAGAATAGGTGATCTTCTTCATAAAGAAATACTATAATTTGCTTGAAATATTACTCAGTGGACATAATTATCTTACTAGCAGACTGCCCTTAGTATAATTAATAACAGGACAACACAGTCAGCTGAATAGGCTGGCAGTTATTGTGCAAGTAACTTCTTTGCATGTGTAAAGACTGATCCAATGATGGAAAGAATTAAACTAGATGCTAAAGTGCTGTAGACTGCAATAGTATCTTATGGGGGTAAATTAAGCATGATGCAATGCTAAACTTTTTAAAATATATAGAAGTTTAATGAGGGACTTAAATATGAATGAATACCTAACTACTAGCATAATGTATTGGTTTAGCTGTATCTTAAAACAAAGTCTGATCATACTGACTTGTTACTAGCTTTTTAGCTCAAGGCTAGTTAGTTGGAGTGTGTGTGTATACACACACACACACAGTCTAAAACTCTTTAAGACAAAGTGCCTTGGTAAGACATAAAAACTTGAGTCAAACAAAGGCCAGCATGTTTAACTGTCTCCCTTGCATAACTTTTTGAAAACTTTTCCTGGTGGAACAAAGCTGCTATAACATAAGGGACTGTGTGCAAACATGTCAACTGAAAACAAGGTGTCACAAATTCCTCCCGAACAAGAAGGAAGCTTTTTGTATGAGAATTATAAGGGTTAAAGACTTAAATAAGACTGAAATATCCGTTTTTATGTCACTAACAACTCTATTGCAGTAACGTGTCTATAGTGAACTGCTACCAAACACTAACAACTCTTCTGTGCTATGCAAATTGCAACTCAATCTCTTACTTGATAAAGAAACGTAGATGGGGGTAATAAAAAGTACATAACCCAACCCGCTCTACTAGAGTATCTGAATTCATTTGTCAGGTTATGGCTTTAAGTAATTTTAGAACTAGGAGTCTTTAAGGTGCCACCAGACTCCTTGGTGTTTTTGTGGATACAGACTAACACGGCTACCCCTGATTCTTAACATAGAATTCTTGTTTACAGCCAAGACAGCTAGTATTTGATTTAAATGCTTTACATCTCAGCTTGGCCTGTGCACTTTAAGCATGGCTGTCTGGAGTGTACTAACTCTTGTTTATAATCTGTTGGAGTGAAGTTTGGTTAAAGTAGGTAGGCTACTGTGTATTCACTGTTTAAATCAGTAGTTCTGCCATGCCCTCATAGGAAGAACGCATATTCTGTCTTTCCCTTGTGACTTCAGCAGCTGACTAAACACATGACTTGCTATCAACAAACTAATAATACTTTGTCTAGATTTGGTGGATACTTTGCATTCTGAACTTTTCCTAATAAAGTATAATGCTTAAGCACTTAAAATGTAATCCCAAACTTCTCTTCCACATGCACTGTTATAGTCTAATGCCATTCCAGGCTTCTAGTTCAGAAAGGTACAAGATTGGATTAAGTTGTAAAGCCATACAACAGTCTTTAGCTTTGTCAACAAAGTAATCTACTGCAACTGCAGAATCTAATATATGAAGATCTTCAGAAATTGTAATCAATTAGGATGATCAAGAAACACTTCTCAGATTCTTAAAGTACAATATAACAGATTGTTATTTCTAGAGTACTAATCTACAAAGATGCTTAAGGCAGAACACTAGATATTGTGAAGCATGGCTTAAAAATATACTAATGTAACTGGTCACACTGGAACAGCTCTGAAATAAATCTAACTAGATTCTCCACAGCTGTTGGGGTTTTTTGGTGTGTGTTTCTTTAGTAAGTCAAAGTGGGTTCTGTAGCTCAATGCCTATTTGCTTTTGGACCATACTCAAATGTCCAAGGACAAGATTGCTTTTGGACTCTGAACTTCAGTAGCAATTTTTATTACATCGTCTTGTGTGGACATCTCATGTGACTACCTGTCAGGAACAAATTTATGGACAAAACTTCTTTGGGGAGAGCCCATTGTTGTGTGACACGATATAGATAGCTTCAGTTTCTAACTTGTATTAGACTCTCTCTCTCTCTCCTCCCGGGGTAGAGGAGAATGTCTCTTCCTAGAAAATTAAGTTGCAGAATATTTGCAAATGTCATGCTGTGAAACTTTACCAGTCCAAAGGTAAGACACTGTAAGATGCAATTAAGGGGGGTGTACACAAGACTGCCTACTTAACTGCTATTGGAAGCAGTTGTTCTGACAGACCCAAATTGTTTTGATGTAGGTGGCCTACAAAGCCTGGTCTAAAACTAAAGATTAAGGAATAAGGCAAAGGATGCCACCATACTACTAAGATGCAAGGAAAAAAAACTACTGATCCTCTAGAACGGTGGTGGATTACTGTGTAGCAGGATGCCAAGGAACTTTAGCCTATAGTCAAAGCCCAAACGATACAAAAGTGCATCAGTTTAATTAAACTATTTTGGAATCTGTTAAAAGGTGAAGTTTACACACAATGTTAAAGTCCAACATAGCTATGCTGGTTATATTTCCTCCTACCCAGTCATACCCCTGGCTGATAGAGCTATGCTGATCTAAACTCCAGGGTAGAGACAGATAAGAATGCCTCCACTAACCTAACTACTTTTGCTCAAGGATGGTGTTTTTACACCAACTGGAAAACCTCCCTTCAGTCAGCATAGATAGCTACGCTGCTGTAATATAGACAGTCTATACTGGCATAGTTTCTGTAGTACAGACATACCTTTTAGTCTATAACCTACAGTATATAGACTCTGGTCTAGCTCAGGCTTTTTTGCCAAAACTTGGTGTTTATCACTGGGTCCCATTACCAGTGGTAGAATTCTTTCCTAGGTCAAAAAGCTCAGGGCTGTGACTTGCAGAAAGTAACACTCTTCCCACCTCTCCCTAAAAAGCTTGCTTTCATTATGCAGCCAAAGTAGGAAACATCAAGTGCAACTTAAATTCAGTAGCCTGTACCAAGGAAAGCATGGTGCAGACAAACACTGGAGCAGTTGCAGTTCAGGTACAAGACTCTGAATTGACATGACTGGCAGAAGCCATAGAGCATTAATGGCTGTGCACAATAGACAACCTAGCATGCATTTTGGTGGTGGTAGTGGTCTTCAGGCACTGGCTTTACAGTTAAAAACTGTGCCCTAATCTAGCTATCCAATGGCAAAGCTTCCTGAGGAACAGGCACTTAGCATATGAAGAATACACTACTTGTAAAAACATTGACTTCAAACACAACAATATATTGGTAATCACTACTGTCAACTATTGTTTACTGCTTTCTTTCCATCTGTGGTCTTCTAAAACAATGATCTCTTAGCCACCTGCCTCTATTGTCAAGGCTAAACTTAATTTTTTCCTGTTTAGAGAATAGCCATTTTAAATTTAGCCTGGTCAACTTAAAGATTTTGTCTGTCTGGTCCTGTTAATTGCATAGTTAAAACTGACAGTTGATAAAATACTATGCAGCTAAATGCTGGAATAGGGCATCTTTAAACAGTTGGAAGCATGATTTATTGGAAGCTGAAACCTCTCATAGAGGAACAAGTACATTTCTAAACTCTGGCTAAGAAAACCTAGTCAAGACAAAGTACAAGCACAGGAACCAGTACGTTTCTAAGAAATAGACAGCATGTTTTTGTCACATGTTAGATTTTCTTCCCTGATGTTCCCTAATTCAGACATCCTTGCTGATCTTGTGCTCCTTTTTTGAGCAAGCAGCTCTTAAGGTTCACTTTGCTGCTACGTTTTCTGCTCAGCACAGATCTGCCTCAGTGATGTCATTGTTGCTGTTAGCCTAGTGTTCCTGTGAGACTGCTCTATCGCTTCTACAGCCAGGAATGAAAAGTTCTATGCATGAGGCAAGCTGTTTCTCACAGTGCTTTTGCTAATGCATACTTGCAGTGATGGTGAGGAAAGCAAGACTTTGTCAAGGCTACAGAAATGTCAGTTTATAGC